AGTATCAAACACTGCAGTAAGATCTAAAACAGTGTTTCTCAACCCTGGTCCTCACCAAATTATGTGGCCCTAAATGTGTGTAAATGAAATATTACCCAAAGATCCTCATAACCACACTTAAACATGGTAGTGGCATGCCCAAGCATGAATCCAGATCAGCAGAAAGTTTAACCTTATGAGAGAAAAGATGACATTTTGAAATGGCCTAGTCAAATTTCAGAACTAAATTCAACAGATTACCTGAGTCTGAGACATTTGGACTTTTCTATGTGAGAGTGTAGAAGATGTGGGATGCTGATATAAAGCAAAAAAATAGACAGGTGTTAAAAATGAAGCATAAAGTGGCTTAGCTTATGCAAACAGGCTCTTTAAGGAATAAATCACATTAAAAGCTTTAAATTATTTATCCACGTCTCGTTTTATGACACCACCTAATCCCGGCCTTTTAACAGGGGTGTGTAAACTTTCAAGAGCAGCTCTAATTCTGTGCTGAGCGCAGTTTTCTCTCTCCGTTTTGCTCTGTTGGATGAGTGTGAGAAACACGCAAAGAAAATGTCATGAATCACTAATTCAGCGAAGGAAGTAGTAGAATCAGTGAGGGACGTCCTGCCTCACCAATCTGTGCACAGAGAGCATTCCACAGCCGCCGCTATGAGGAAACAGATCCCGGCTGCTGAGGCGGTTCATGGCATCGCCTCTTTGCTCTTTTCAGAACCTGTCCACAAAGCTGCTGAGCGAGTCGAGCAGCATTCTGGCGCAGACTGAGAAGATGCGCAGTGCCCTGCGACTGCGTGTTCCTCCCTGGGTTTGTGACTCAAACTGAAATTCAGAGTCAATCTTGAGCCACATCTGATTCCTGCATCGAGCAGAATGTTGTTTACGTCATGATCTATTTCCATGCGCCGCCTCAGCCCTGTCGTCGTGATGAACTCACTTGTTCAAAGTTTTAAATGCAGCCGGAGTAAAAACACCAAGACGACTGATCCAACGCAGCAAAGTCTGACTTCTAATCAGAGCAGCAGCAGAATTCATCCCAAAAAGCAACACAACTGCAAGGGGATGCGCCAATGTGAAAATTTGGGCCAATATCGATATCCAATATTAATATTGCTGCTATGGTCAATAACCGATATTTGCTTCTTTTTTTATTGTCGCGTAAAGAAATCAAATTCAGATGTTAAGATTGAGTGAATATACACAGAAAGAAAACAAAATGTGTGAAAGAAGAAAACAGTCAAGTGTCCTCCATTTGGTGTTTGTTGTACAGAGTGATCTTGTTGATTTGTTAGAGGAAGAAGAAGAAGAAAATAATGATAGTAAAAGAAAAATAACGCATTACATAGTAAAGGAAAAGTTATTATAGTTTATATATTTAAATGACCACATCGTTGACATTGCCTCCTCTGCTTCAGTTAAACAAACACCACATGACCAACCTCCCACACTCCCAAAACACAAAGAGCAAAAAGATGGAAATAAATATTAATGCCGGCTCATTTTAAACATGTCAGATAGATGTTGAAAAAAGATTAACAGCTACCGATACCAATGTTGATATCGATATATTTTGAATCCCTAACAACTATGTCACTTTGTTCTTGGCTGCTGTTATAAGCTGTCCATTTTGTCAAAATAAAACCTGAGGAACAGACATGCAGCGATTGCAGTTTTCCAGCCGATCACTGATATAAGCCTGGCGCAATAAAAAATTTATCAACTAATTGCATAACTAATTAAAATCAGCCTGATCATTTCCATTCTGACGATGAATATGGATTATGATGTCTAGAGACATCATAATCTGGTTATTGTGGTTATTGTGTTTTATTCTGAATGTTTGAAATATCTTCCAGTTCCAGTGTTAAATGTTTTTACAAAATTAAAGTTTATTTTATTGCTTTTAGAGAGGGTGAACTTGTTTTATTATGCCATTTTCAATTTATTACTCAAGAATGATGTCAAAACACAAATATTACCGTTTATTATCGCAATAATTACTCAGACAATTCATCATCCAGCAGAATTTGTCATCATGACAGGCCAACACCTGAGCTTTAAAAAGTCTGATCCAATTTGGCCATTCCGATTTTTTTTCCCCTTTTTTTTTTGTATGAAAATTCAGTAAATATAGCAAATTTGCTAAGTTGGCAACAGTGGGGTAATTATTAACCATAGACATGACTTGGTGGGCAAGTCTTTCAGACCGCACTCTAAAAAGGAATGTGGCTGAGATAGATTAGATCCGTTGAACTCCTAAAATAAAGGAAATTTATCGGTGCACCCCTACAGAGGACGTTCGCCAAGGCAGGGAATGGAGCTGATCCTGGGCCTGAGGTGGGCCACTGGGACTGATGGGGATGGAGAGGAGGCTTTGGTGGAGCTGAATGGGATACTAATGAGTGGCCTTATCAACGGTTGGTCTGTATTCTGTCCTCTAATGACCAGGAGGGTGTGTGTGTGTGTATGAACAGAGCTGTTGATGGCCCACATGTAAACATCTCCTCCTTCTTCTCCTCTTCATCCCAGATGGAAGCCAGATGGAAGCCATCATCCTCAGCCTGGCTGATTAATCTACACCAGTGCAGCTGCTCTGTAATAATCTATTTGCTTTTCAAAAAGACTCCCTCTGTGGCAAAGGTAGGTGGAGTCGGGGGAGGGGGGGGAGAGAGGAGCAAAAGGCCGACAGGGCTGAGGAGACCTGTTGAAGAGCCCACTGGTGAAAGCATTGAGTCACGGTTTACTGTGGAGAGGTAGCAGCTGTGTGGAAACTGAGACCAAACTGTCCGCCCAGACACACTCAGAGTCAATATGTAGACGAGGACGGTAAATAACGTCTCCACACTCAACACCAACTGTTGCTTCTACTCAAACCGGGCCGCTGTAAATGAGAGCCGACTCCGACACACGTCAATCTTACCTGCCCGGTGCAGCGTGGAGTCAGGTCAAACAGGTTCCCGGTGATTGACTGGAGCCGAGCCGTGTCCGTGGGGAAGCTGGGAGGAGACGGTTCCCTCTCGGCGCTGTGTGTCAGCGCTGCTCTGTGAACTCACCGCGGATAAAACCACCTGTTCTCTGCCGAGACGCCCTACAGCTTCACTTTCCTCGCACAGCCTCCGTGGGTGTTTAAACCGCGGCTACTTTCTCGTGGCGTGTCAGAGAGAGCGGTCAGCCCACTGTTTGCTTTCCTTTTTTCCTCCTCCACTTGGACGAAAACTGCCGAATGTTGTCGGGAGGACAGAGAGGCGGACCAACCCGAAACACAGGACACGGCGACACTGAAGTTAGCGTCTGGTTTGTAGTTTCAGTAAAGGGCTGTTTCACCTAGTTTAAGGAATCTGGAGGGGGAAAAAACAGCCCTACTTAAACATGTTGGAAAACATTTGTTGTCTCAGTGGAAATCAATCATGACAAACAAATATGTAGATTAACAAGGAAATTAATAGAAATGAATATGAAAGCATAACTCAATTTTAAATTTATTGTTGCTTGTGATAGATTTGTTATGAATTTTACTTCTGCATCACAGAAGACCCAGACTCGGAGACACACAGAGGCCATTAGCCCAACATCTATGCCTTTGGGCTGTTGGAGGAAGCCAGAGTACCATGAGAGAAGCCACTGGAATAACATACGAACTGGTGGTAAGTTGCCTTTTAATAAGAAGGTCCTTGGTTTGCATACCAACCAGCCGGTGATGTTTTTACATGGAGTTTGCATGTTCTCCTCTGGGTACTCTTGCTTCCTCCCTAAAAACATGACATGTCAAGTTAATTGGCCTTTCTAAATTCTCTGATCTGTGTGACTCCCTAGAGGTGAGCGCTAGGTCCCTTCCCATAGGAAAAAAAGGAAGCAATGAGTGGAATGAAATTAAACCAATGAACCAACTATTCCTGGTTCTTCTCCCTATAAAGCTGTAAGGCTTTCGACCTGGAACGATCAAATTTAGTCGAGTCTAATCTGTAAAACCACTTAAGTGCTTAAGTGAAAATTGTGAATCACACATCAACTTCAGCAGCAAGCAGTGGTTCAAAGAATCAAGTTACCTACTGCTGTAGCGAGGATGTGTGGAACTTACGGAAAGTCAGCATAAACACGGAATAAAGAATTTCTATACCAAATAACCTGGACGCTTATTAAAAATCAGCCATAGACATGCAATTACAGCAAAAACAAATATTTTATATAACTTTATTAGTAAAATCTCTAATATTGCTTGCTTCCAATTTATCTGCCGTGTATTTTTAACCCAATGTCAAAACTCTGACCTCAAACATCACTGATAATTAAATAACTGCCAAAAAAAAACGTTTGCCACTTTAGTTGCCATCCCTCTGAAGCAGGTACGTTTTCGCAAAAAGTACATTTATTTTTAAGAATCCCTTCCGGTTTGAGCGCCTGTTGTATTTTGAGTCACAAGGGGGCGCCATCTTCCTGTTTTCTAAGAATGTTCCAAGATCCTCTCGTTTGCAACTCAATCATTTCAGTCTTTCTCCGTTTTCCCCTCTTTTCCAAATAAGTATTTATTTTTCCAGGACAGAAACACAGAATGACAGAATACTGACCGACATTAGTGATTAAAGAAAAAAAAAACTGCTTGGAAACACAGAAGTATGTAGAGTAAAAGTCTTTTATTTAAATAAGCATACAAAAGAAAAAACACTAAACTAAATACAGAGTCTATAAGGCTACAGTTGACTTCCCAAATATTCAAAGCTTGGTGCTACAGTATGTGAAGCTAGAAAAAAGCTCTTATAAAAACAAAACAAAAAAAACAATATGGATATCTACATTGTAGCACGATGAATGCATAATGATTTACCAAAGTAGCAAATGTCCTGTGTACATTTCCCCCAGTGATTAAAGAGACCCAGAATAATAGTGCCAGCAGCATGTCACCCACCTGTCGTGTGAGCCTGGATAAAAGGAGAACACGGTAAAGCAGGACAGTGGGCTGAAATGTCTTCGCTGCGTTCTCTCAGTCTGTTTAAAAACCAGAGTGTGATGGCTGCTACACGTAACATCCAGCTAAAGCACCTTTTCAGTACCTAGCTTTATGGAAAAGACATTGTGCAACATTTACAAACACAACAGTCTACATATATGTATAATATAGAAAGTGACTGTGAAATAAAAAGAACCAACATGAAAGTTACAAGGACAACTATGGAAACATGGCTCCACCTAAACAGGTTTAATGTTTACTGATGGGAGTGAGCAGTCTGGTGGAGTGTTGACGCTATTGGGGGGGGCGATGGGTGGGAGGTGTGTATGAGAGTAGTGGGGAGTAGATGGGCGTCTGGGACAGAGTGTAAACTATTCCTGGGCCTCTTTCCCAGTCATTTTGTAGAGCTCAGTGGGCCCATCAACATGGGTGATGGTGGTGGTCAGTTGGATGTCTTCTCCGCTAGTGGCTCCACCATCACCTACACACACACACACACAAATCATCAGAACCAAAATATCCAACCATCACGTGTCAGTCCTGAAGGGGAAGAAGCACCTTGCAGATGTCTTTGTAGCTCAAATCTTTGCACATTTCAGGTTGTTTATGCAGTGGGGAAAAACGATGCATGTATTCGAAGTCCAACGGTGAATCTGTGGCTTGAAAATTGAAAAGATTTTAAAGCTGATGTGTTCTCAAATGGGGGAAAAGATTCACTGATGCCAGCTGGTAGAACTCCCTGGCCCTCTACGCACGCACACACACACACACACACACACACACACACACCTCTATGAAGTATTTGGGTTGCAGGCTCTTCTTCCATATGAAGCTGCTGTGGTGGATTTCCACCGGCATAAACACCTCCAGCTCTCTCAAACATGAGCAGAATCTGGAAAGAGCGCCCCCTCCCATCAGGTGACACCTGGCAGACTTCAGAGAACGCTTCCACAACTTCAGAGCCTCTTATCTTTTTTTCTCGTCTCCAACACGACATGGATGCATGGTTTTCATTGCTTCCTGGTGCCGCTCTCCCCCTCACCTCACCATTTTTCCTCTCTCCCTGGAAGCGAGCCCGGAGTCCAATAGAACCACCATCTCAAGCCAAGGACAGCCTTCATTTCCCCTGGGAATCTGGATCCCTCTCAGGCACCACTAGCTCCCCCCAAACTAAATCTCTGGATGAATCGACAGCTTTAGCGCACAGGTTGGACTCTTGCTCCATAAGAGAGCAAAGTGAGAGTGACCAAGGACTTTAAGACTTAAGGCTCTCAGAAAAGCCAGTAGGAGTATAGTTACCGGCAATGCACTGACCACTTGACTGCTCGTTTCCGTAGCGTTTGTGCGAAGGAGCATAGAGGAACATGATGGCAAAGACGTACAGGTTCCACATCCCATAGATGCCGGTGAAGAAGGCGCTGTTGACCTGCACCGTGTGGTCCCCCCAGTGCCAGTGGCCCTCATTCACCTGGAATCAGACACACATCACTGCAGATCCGGCTCCAGAGGAGAGCTTTAATTTAATAAGAATACACAAATGTTTATGTAGCCTTACAAGTAAAATAACTATGTTTATTAGAAAAAAAAAAACTTTAATGATATAAACGGTGACATGTAGAAAACGCTGAGTAATTATGCTCAGATTTTCAAAAACATGAGCTCATACTGTGCAGAAATCTAAGCAGCTGATGTTTCCACTCTACAGGGACATTGTATCATTTTATAACATAATCAAGGAATTATGTTCACTTCAGTTGCCATAAAAATGCTACATGTGTCAAATATGATTTAAATTAGGAAATAAAAATTATTTTAATGCCTTGAAATTGGGCCTCTGTCTCTTTAAAAACTCCTGCTCTTGCTGAAACTCTGCCTTCAGGAAGCCATCCCAACATGGCTCCTGTAT